AAAGAATAAGACTTGGAAACTAGTTGACAGACCAGTTGATAAGCATGTGATTGGGGTCAAGTGGGTGTTCAAAACCAAGATGAACCCTGATGGATCAATAAACAAGTTCAAAGCCAGATTGGTAGTGAAGGGGTATGCACAGCAGTTTGGAATCGATTTTGCTAATACATTTGCACCAGTTGCAAGATATGAAACTATTAGGTTATTTTTGCAATTGCAGCTCAAAGAATGTGGAAGATACATCGGTTGGATGTAAAATCTGCTTTTCTAAATGGGTACTTAAATGAAGTAATCTACATTGAACAACTGGAAGGCTTTGCAGTGGCAAGTGAGGAAGACAAAGTGTATCTATTAAAAAAGGCTTTGTATGGTTTAAAACAGGCTCCAAGGGCCTGGTACAGCCGCATTGATAATCACTTGTGCCGTTTGGGATTTGTTAAAAGTGTAAATGAGCAAGCACTTTACATAAAATATGTGGAAGAAGGAATGATCATCATATCCTTATATGTTGATGATTTGCTAATAACCGGTAGCAATTGCACCTTGATTGAAGAAGTGAAGGAGGAATTGAAGAAAGGTTTTGAAATGATAGATCTTGGTGAGATGCAATATTTTCTTGGAATGGAAATTGAACAAACTAAAGAAAGTATCTTTGTTTGCCAAAAGAGATATGTTAAGGAAGTGTTGAAGGAGTTCCATATGGAAAATTGCAAATCGGTTAGCACTCCATTAGTACAAAATCTAAAGTTAATGAAGGAAGATGGTACTAAGAGAGTGGATGAAAAGATCTATAGAAGTCTAACCGGTTGCTTGCTATATCTTACAACAACAAGACCAGATATCACCTATGCTGCAAATGTGCTGTCCAGATTCAGACAAGAGCCAAGTGAATTACGTTTTCAAGCGGCAAAAAGAGTTCTTAGGTACATAAAAGGAAGTGATAATATGGGGATTTGGTTCAAGAGATCAGAGGACTTGGTTTTAACTAGTTATACAGATAGTGACTCGGCAAGTTTAGCAGATGACATGAAGAGTATCTCAAGCTATGTGTTTTATGTTGGTTCAAACATTGTGTGTTGGAATTCGATGAAGCAGAAGACTGTAGTACAATCAACTGCTGAAGCAGAGTATATAGCAGCATCTGAGGCGACAAACCAAGCTGTTTGGTTGAGGAAAATGTTGGAGGATCTTGGATACATACAATCTGATGCAACAATCATTTATTGTGACAACTAATCAACGGTTGCAATGGTAAAAAATCCAGTATTCCATGGGAGAACAAAACACATAAAGATTACATATCATTCAATTAGGGAAGCTCAAGAGAGGCTTGGAAATGAAGCTTGTGCATTGCAATTCAAGTGAGCAATATGCTGATATCTTAACAAAAACTTTGTCCAGAGGAAAGTTCGAAACATTGAGGAGTTACCTTGGTGTTTCCAGCGAAAGAGACTATCTCAGAAAATCTTCATCCTTCTTCTTAGTTACTCAATGTATCTATCAGAAGGGTATTAGTGTCTCACAACGAAAATATGTCCTGGACCTCTTGATTGAGACAGGTATGCTTGGTTGTAAACCAAGTAACACTCCTATGGATACTGAAAAAAGGACCAACAACATGGGAGAATTGGTTGATAAGGATAGATACCAGCGACTAGTAGGAAAGCTAATCTACCTATCGCACACTAGACCCGACATTGCATTTGCAGTTAGTGTGGTAAGCCAGCACATGCATTTTCCAAGGGAAACCCACCTAGAAGCAGTACACAAGATTCTGAAATATCTCAAAGGTTCTCCGGGAAAATGATTGTTGTTCAAGAAAAATAAAAAAGGAAAATAGAAATATTCACTGATGCTGATTGGGCAGGAGCAATAGAAGATAGAAGATCAACCACTGGTTACTGTACTTTTGTATGGGGCAACTTAGTAACTTGGAGAAGTAAGAAATAGAATGTAGTCGCTAGAAGTAGTACGGAAGCAGAGTTTAGAGCAGCTGCTCAAGGAATGTGTGAAAGCCTTTGGTTAAAAAAACTCTTAGAAGAACTACAAGCCACAATGAAATTCCCAATTAAGCTCTATTGTGATAACAAGGCAACTATCAATATCTCACTCAACCCAGTCTAACATGACAGAACCAAACACGTTGAAGTGGACGGACACTTCATCAAAGAAAAGATTGAAGACGGCATCATTTGCATGATCTATGTCCCTACCAAAGAACAAACGGCGGATGTGTTCACTAAAGGACTACATAGACAAACTTTTGATGATTTCATCTGCAAGTTGGATATAATCAATATCTACTATCCAACTTGAGGGTGATTGTAGGAATCCCAAATCAATCATGGGATTATTGTATTTATATTTATGGTATGATTGTCTCTAGGTTAGGAAAGTTTAATTTTCTTCTTTAGTTAGAATATTTTTTCCTTTTCCTACTATCGTGTATGGTGTATATATTGGGGCAAGTTGTATTGGAATAATTATTGAGAAAAAGAATAAAAAGTTTTTTCTCTCATTCATCCATATAACATTATTATTTGAACCACCCACTGAGGTAGGATTTGGACTTAGAATATTACCAGGTGTCCATTCCAAATACAGTGGAGCATCCCTATGTCGACATATCATTTCCAGCTTCACAACGAAGACTTTCACAATAGAAGTTTTACTGATGCCATAAGAAATATGAATTTAGCAGATAACAACAAATTAGTAACAAATGGAACTAAGATTTATTAAGTCTTAGTTAGGCCTTAAGTTACTGACAAGTGAGAGAAAAAATTGTTACTGAATTCAAAGAAATCCCAAAACTTTATATTGGAGGTCCCCAGGTACTTTTA